ATCTCCAAGGATCGGGAGGTGCCTGCCCACCCTAAAGGACTGATGGTAGAGGCCAGCTGCCTGAAAGGTCCCCATGAGCAGGCTTTGCTTACGTAAGCCAGATCTGTTGCTATTTTAAACCATCAGCTGAAACACTGCTTGCTTTTAGGAGTAATCTAAGCAGATAGCTGGCTTGCACCCTCAGAGCCTGAGCTGGGAGGAAGCTGAGAATCGCTCCCCATCCACACATGCCTCAGAATCGTGTGTCCTCTTCGCTCGAGTTCTGCAAACTCTGGTTTGCCAGGAGGGGTCAGCATCAGCGCAGGAAGGCGACTCGCTGAGACGGGCTTGTTCCTGGGCAAGAGGCTCAAGAGAAAAACTGGAACAAAAGACTTCATGTCTGGTCTTTATTCTGAATGAAGACTGAAATGACAGACTTGGGGCAACACCTGTAAACAACCTGTGTGTGGAAGATCAAAAGCAAACGACCGTTCTCTTCTGTATACAGAACACTACAACATGAAGTGTACGTGGTTAGGCATTCACATTTCTTGTCTATCTATACAGAAATATACAGCTCAGTTGATAAATTAATACATTTTTGCCAGAGATACGAAAAGGTTTATTTTTCTCATTTATACAGTGAATGTTTTGAGAGATATAAGGCAACTCCCTTGTCAATAATTTCACCTCAGCATTTAAGAAATGCTAAACAGTCAAGTTTACAGTAAAACAGCAGATTAGACGCACATCTAATAATTTTAGTGAAAATCAATAAAGCGTATCTGAGAATAGAACTCATCACACGTTATGTAGCTCTATGCTGTTGGGGTTTTTTGGCATAATTGAGTGCAAACTTGTCAGCTTCTTTTTTATCTTATGGCAGCCCATTGCATAGCAGGGAAACTGCTTACTTGCAACAGGGTTTTATTTTCTGCTAACACTGCAGGCAGTTTTTCTATTTCTTTTTAATGTTTGCCAAAAGAAATCATATAAACTCTAAAGCTGCTTAAAAATAAAACACACGAGCTTAGCTCCTCAAAGCTCTAGATGAGTATCTTCCAAGGACTGACTCTTCTCTACCTGCTATTTAGACAGGTTTGTTGGGTTTTTTTCAATTTACTTTCTGAAGACTTCTTCCTTCTTACCCATTGCAGAACTTGATTGCATTAGCACATGTAAAGGAAACAAAACTCTCAGGTAATGAGGCCAAATATTGTGGCAGACACAGGAAATACCTGCTTGCTTTTTCCACTTCCTAGCCAGGTCAGATAAACATTTGCGTGTGCGTATTTATTTGTCTCTTCCGCACATACGTAGGAAGCTGTGAGGGAAACCTCAGGGATCCATCAGACAGGGACAGCTGGGATATTGATGCATACCCGGCAGTGAAAAGGTTTCAAAGGCCACTTCAGATTTATCTCTGAGCCTGATACACTCCAGCCGGTTATTGGCATCCTGGACTGCTGCACCTGAACTAGATGAACAGTACTGTTCATCACCAAGCCCCGCGTACTGATCCATTAGTGATGGCACGTTCTATGTAATGCTAAATGCTTTTCTAGTCTATGTGACAGGTCCAAGAGCAAACACAAAGGGCCACGTAATTAACTTTTGTGTGAATCTCACATGCTCAACACTTACAAGAGACACCAACTTGAAGCACAAATACACAAACCACATCTTCCTCTTCTTTTGTATTTCTCATTTATATATGGATACAAATACACCCCTCCCTCTGGTTCTTGTGGTTCTAACCGAACTCCATGCTACAGACAAAGCTCCAGGCTTCAAAAAGCAGCTCAGACCCAGCGCCCTGCTCTGCTCGTGCAAGTAAAACAGCAGCACCTCACCAGGAAAGCAGAGCACTGGGACTGACGCTGTTGCAGGCAGGGGAGAAAGGTGCGTTTTCCCCTGGAAGTGCGTCACTAAAGCGATTCTAACTACTGTCACTGCAGCTGGTACAAGCCTGGCTTGCTCACACTCTAAAACTGGCAGTAGAACATTTGCCACAAGAGATACCATCTTGTTCTTCTAGCTGCCACTGTTTTCCACACAATACTCTCCTGGCTCAGGCTGATCAAAATTAAGACTCCCCCTTCATTACATTGTTGAAACCATTTATCTTCTCTTGCACATCTCTTCCTCGTCTTCTGTAAGTGGTTCAGTCTCTGGTTTTTAGCACAATTATTTTCTCAGAATACACGTGATTTACTTGCAGAAAGAGAAACCAAGTTGCAGCTCAGCTTTCACTCACGAATCTTGAACGTTTTGTACAGTCAAAGTACTTTGACATTTGCTACATCATTCACAGTCTTGAGGAGGAAGGGAGGGAAGAGAAATCCATGGCTTCTGCAAATCCACTTCATGAATGATAAAGCCATAAATAAATACACTGTCAATGCATCATCATGAGCAACTGATTATTTTTGTTTTCACTGTGCATTCACAGAGCTAGAGCTATGCAGACACAAATGAGAATTGTAAATGTACAGCCTTACAGGATTAGCGTGAGTGGGTGTACACTCTGCAAACAAAACAAGGATTCTTCACCTGCAGGAGTCTGCCAGACTGTCCTACCCACATCATGGACAAACGCGAGAAGCGTGTAACAGAAGGATACAGAGAGAGGAGAGAGAAAGGCCATGTCTACAATGCTGTACATCAAAGCACATCCATCCCACTGCTGTTTCCTACGTTATTAACGAGTAGCTCTTTAAGGCAGAAGAGAGACATTCTGTGGATCTTGGTGCTATTGGCTCATTGCACTCACATTGTTTCAGTGGCAGAGGACGAGGTACTTTTCTTCCTGAAGCGAGGTCTAAGGGTCCTAGGCGGTGCCTGCAGAAAAGCAAACCAAAACTTCAGTGGTGTAATAGGAAATGTTCTTTTTTTTTTCTTTCCTTAAAACTTGCCCATCTTTGTGGCACCTCTGTGGCAATGATCCCATTCCAGGCATGAAGTAATCGAGAAGCAGATCTTGGCCCTGAAGATCATTAATGAATGACCAGCTGAAGACTAACCCCTTTAAGAAACCCAATGTAGTCCTTTACCCAGGTTACACCAACACCTTCCCCTCTGGTGCTTGGTTAGAGGTGGGGCTAAAGATTGCTAATAACATAACTGTCAAAGGAGCCAGGACAAACTGGTGCCATTTACAGAAGTGTTTGGATCAAGAGAGCAAACTGGTGGCAGAAAGTCAGCTCTGGTGTCTCCCAGCCCATCCTGCACTGTCCAGCCCAGCCGCAGCCTCTCCGAGGGTACAGCTCATTGGGGCATCACAAAGCTGAAGGGGTCCCCAGGATGAAACACACTGGGCCTGTAATCCTCACAAAGCACTGTTCTTTTAAAAGATCAGCCTCTCACTTGGGAGACAGGCCAGACACAATCCATTGAAATTATTTTAGAAGCCAACTACTGCAATTCTGCCTTGCGGTCAGCTGATGCAGAGAGCTTTTAAAAAGGAGCCCTGAACGCCCAGCAGGAGCCAGACCAACTCCATGAAATTGCTTTACTGTGATTAACCCCATTCCCCAGGCTGAGGAAGACATTATAGAATCATAGAATGGTTAGGGTTGGAAAGGGCCTTAAAGACCATCAAGTTCCAACCTTAGTTTGCTAGTCCAATCAGTTAGAGTAGCAAACAACACAAAAACCCCCTAATCTGCAGTGCGTGATTCTCTCAGAAGAACTTTGGCATGGCATTGTGTCTTGCTAGCTTCACAAAAAGAAATGGTTACCACATGTTGCAGAGGAGCACAGACTCATGGTGGAGGCTTGTCATAGCATCACATAACACTGCAAGGCCTGATAAGCTCTCCTACTCCGTTTACACTAATATCCAAAGCCTTATTTTCTTTAACAGCATCGACTTATGTATGTGTAAGACTATAACAGGATCTTACCATTCATAAGTGAGGATTTTATAATTTCTATTTTATAGGACTTTCCAACTTCATGCTGTGTTTCCACATTCCTGTGATGCAGCAAGGTATAAATATTCATATAAATAAGGAACTGCACTGCAGCAAGGTTTTGTTTAGACTCCATCTAAATCTCCATCCCTTCCAGCTTGCCCATAAAGCAAGGCAGTTTCTTGCCCAGGTGGAATTATTCCAACACCCCACCCCATCTTCCAAGCCTGAAATGTTACCCCAAGTCTCCACTGTGAATGGCCAAAAGCACAACAGACCTGGATGGGATGGCTGCATCCAGAAAGACAGCTGGAGGAGAAAAGCTGAGGAAGAAAACTGCTGTGTACAGCAGGCAGGGATCCCACACCACTCCAGACTCCATAGCTGCCCGCTCTGTAAACCAGGAGCCCTTGGACACAGCTGGACAACTACAGCAATTCCTCTTGCAGCTTGGGAGCAGGCTGCTCTTTGGGAAGTCAGATGTCTCTTAAAGAAAAGCAGCCATTAACTACACAGTGAAGACTCTAAAATCAGGAATGAATAGCTCTGCTTCCTATGGAGGTCACTCGACTGCTCTGAAAGTAGCTACAGAGGCTGCACCTTTCCACAGTAAGACCAGAGCCGCCCAGGTTTTGGTGAGATCCCTCCAGAGGTAGGATGACCCACCACAAGGTCACACAACAGCTTACCAAAGCACATGGCTCCAGCTCCCTCACACTGAGCCAAGGGGAGGGTGGAACAAACCCAGCTCCCCCATGGTGGAGATCCACCAGCTTGGATCTAAGAGCTGCTGGCTGTGGCTCCATCCCCCCTGCCCAGATCTGGAAGGAGTCTGCCTACAGCATCTCCCACGGGGGTTTTATTTCCTCCACAACAAAATGTTGCTAAAATTGCTTTTGGCAAACCACAGTGTGAGATCTGCATCTGCTTTAGTTCTTGTTTCCCTGAAGTAAAGTAAAGCATACTTGTTAATACAGTGCCTGATTCAAAAACCTATTGAAGTCATGAAGGAAGAACTGCCGCTGGATCAGTGGGGTTTGGCTAGGTGCAAACTGGGCTCTGAACTGCGAGTGCTCTGGCTGTGGGTGCTGGCTGTTCTCACCGTAACTATCCTGCCTAGGGGGTGAGAGAATATATTTACAGACACGAAAAATCAACTAGCAGTTGATATCCAAATCCCCTTGTACGTGGTTCACTGCTAGATCCAAGTTTTGCAATTCAGATCCAACTCCGAAGCCTCATAAAACCATTATCTCCAAAGGCAATAATTCAGATTTCTTTCAGGAAATCCACACATGCAGAAAAATGAGTGAACCCATAGCAAGACCCACCCCTGAAAGACCAGAAATGTATTATTTGGACTCAGTGGTTTTAGATCAAAGAGAAATGTTCATTCAGTTGAAGATTCAAGGAATTTCAGAGGAGGAGGAGCCTTGACAATATGGAAGTACCTCAAGGGGCTGATCCTTCTTTTTGGGCCTTTTGTTCATGGATGCACAATCCAATGAATCGTTCTCTTCATCATCTGAGAACACAGAGCCTTTTGCTTCATAGTTTGCCTCAGGTGGCTTTTCATACTTATTGTCCACACCTATTTAACATGGCCATTTACCGTCTAAACGTGAAGACAAAGGATGAGGAGATCAGTGATGATTTGATTCACACTCTGCCAAATGCCACATCACTGCAAAGCCATGCATCTTCCAGGGATTAATAGAAGGTTCACACATCACGCTCTAGTAACAGCAGCTGTGGGGTTAGAAATCAAAAGGCTCTTGTTTATGAAGCCATTATAAGCTCTATTTGGATTATTTGACATAGAATTGAGACTAAATTCACAGCCTCTGATGTTCTGGAGGTTGACTCTAGAAATAGAATTTTTTTGTTTGGCTCAGGGATAATAAAACAGCTGATTTCTTGAATCACTGATTCCATCCATAGTTCCTGCATCTACTGCTTCCAGGAGTGTCCTCTAGGAGACACCAAGTGAGTGTTGAAGCCCTCTGGACAGCATGGAGCGAGCTGCCTGGGACGCAGAAATCTGAAGCACAGCAGCAAGAAGTTACTTTGAAGCTGAGAGAGCTCAAGCCAACTCCCAATCTGAGATGCACTGAAGTTAACCAAAAGCTTCAACAGGCATTGAACGGACCCTCAGCCATCAGGTGTGTTGCTGCAAGACCAGAGTGGGGAAAAGTCTCTCTTCTGTCACCCAGGAGTAAGTTTTATGGAGCATTATGGCAGATTATGGCCCCAAGACTACAGACCACTATCGCCTGCTTGGTGGTTCTTAACCATCTAACTTATGGCACCATCTTTCTGGGACTGGTCATCTTGCACAACACAATCCGTTTGCTGCCTTAAATCCAGACAGTGAAGCAAGATGGTATTTTTAACGGCCAGTCCAAAGCAAAAGGGACAGCAAAGGACATCCAGAGTGACCAAGCTTTCTGAATCTCCACAGACAGTTTCTTATCAGCAGGACTGGAGCTTGCTTTGTTTGACTGATAGGTAGGCTTTTTTCATTATGAAATATGTCAGAAGTGGAAGTGTTTGCTGTTTAGATGGCATTAACCACAATTACTGGCCTTATACTTAAGCAGTTGTATAAACATACACAGAAATAATGCTCTGTGCTCCTTGTCTCAGTCTGACTGCAAGACTCTGCTGCACCGAAGACTAAAACTAAAGAGGATTCTTAATTGTCTACTATTTATTAATCCATTTAGATACTTAAAGCACAAAAGAACTGAATTATCCAACAGCTCATTCAGTTGGGTAATGGAGAGACAAAGGGGAAGCGATTTGGCTACAGCAACACCACACGTCATGAGCGGGCCACTGGGGCTCTCTCCAGTGCCAAATCCAAGTCAGCAGCTAAACGCCCTTAACCCCTGTGTTCAGCCCACAGGATGCAGCTGCCACTCGAGAGCGATACACACCATCCATCCTCTGGCCACTGACTCCATGTTTCTACCCCTTATCACCTTTTGCATGGGCTGGCTGGAAGACACCATCACAGCTTTCCAGGAAGAGCTGGAAGTTGACTTTTTTCCCAGCTGTACTGAAAATGCCAAGTGACATTGCAGAGAGGCCTAGGATAATGCTGAATTGGGTTTTTTTTATATATTACTGTAGTGTTAAGATCACGCCATGGGGAGAATTAAAAGTTCTCTCAACCACACGGCAAAACAGTACAGGAACATTTTATTTTAATTACTATTTTATCTTTCCACTTGTGAAGTGAGCTACCCAGGAGGAGCCTAGCTTAGGCCATCTTGGATGTGGAAGCTGGTCCTTGGCGCCTCTCTGAGCCAACAAGAAATGGAGTCAAGCTTGTTTTAAATGCTGTTTGTTCAGCAAAGCCTGAACCAAGCATACCCAAATTTCCAGCCTGGAGGCCAAGTAGTGCCCCAACACCAATTCATCTGACTGCTCCCAACTGCTCTCCTTCCCCAGAGGTCCCTCAGATGTGGATTGCAGGCTGGGCTTTAGGCAGTTTGAAATAAAAATGGATTAAAAATGGTAAAAGTGGGTCAGGACTTCTTTAAATTGCCTCACTGAGGTTTGCACAGTGACCCAACAGCCATGTGCTGCTGCAAGGAGACAACATCTTTGCCCAGGAAAAAGAGGACTTTGAAGGAGACGGGACAGAGGTGTATTGGAGAACCAGAATTAGAGCATTCGGTGACCAGAGTGCAGAGACACTGGCTGCTGAAGCTGAGAGGGTACAGGAGCAGGCAAATGCACCCTGCTCCCTCTCTCCTACAGCCAACCGCTCCGCTGCAAAAGGAGACCGAAGGAACTATCAGCCCTGATAATGCTTCCGTGAATCCCACGTTTTCCAGCATCCGTTGCTTTCTCCATTATTATTCTCTTGAAGTCAGTGCTGGGTGAAAAAGATATACAAGCAGCTCTGCCACCCGTGTCACCTGTCTCCGTGATGGGGACAGCAGAGGCACAGCATCCTGAAGGCTCTTCCGTTCTCCCCATCAGCCTGAGTGTCACATCCATGTCCTGGAGCTGCTTCCATGACGATCAAGACGAGAGCTCAGCCTCCAAGCTGTCAGATACTGCTTTGATCCCCGCAGCAGAGAGGTCTGTACAGTGCACTGGAAGCTAGGCTGACACCCTCTTCTCCCCTGCTCCCCCTCATTGTGAATGAGGCACTGAAACCCAGCCAAATGAGAACCAGTTTTGCTTCAGCCCCACTGAACTGGAAAAAGGAAGAAACGGGTCTATCCCAGGCCTTTCCACTACATTTCTGGCCATTGATGAGAGCAGATCTTGAAAACACAAGGCCCTTTTTTTAAGACCTGGAGTGAGAAGGGAGGATTCCCTGCCCATCCTGCCTCAGGAAGGACATCCGTATTGTGGGCAATCCCAACCTTGTATTGATCTGGGGTGCCAGACTTTGTCCCACATTTGTGGAAGCATTACGCTGCTGTGGGACTGGAGGCAACTCATCTCCAAAGGGCTGCTGCTGCATGAATCCCAATTCTAAAGTTGGTTTTTTTGTGTGAATAGAGCGATGACAGGATAAAAAACTCATTTTCGTACACTGAGAGAGTGAGTCCTCAGCAGGAGAAAATGTAAAGCAGGGGATTAACCAGAATAATAAACACACATGTGAGGAATTAGTGAGAAAGGAGATGGATGGGTTCTAGGACACCAAGGTTTGTTTCTGGAGGAGGCGAGGACTGAGGAGCAAAACATGTTCTCAGGGCTGGCACAGGCTTCTCGAGGACAGCACTTGGCCTCGGGTGACCTCCTGTGTGTTTCTAAGAGCTGTCTTTAGGATCTGAGGCTGTGAGGCCTCAGGCCACTATCAGATGTCACCAAAGTGGCAAAGCCAGCAGCATGTGCTGCTCCAGGGAAGCAGCTGACAGCGCCAGGGACCGTGTCACAGCCAGGAGGTGGCTGTGTAAAAGCACGGACCATACGCCAGACATCTGCCCTGGATCTCTCATCTTTGGGAGACTCTCACTCCCCATCTCAGGCAGGCTGTGTTTTGGATGTCTCCACCTCTTATGTTTATGGCTCCACACCTTTGCGCAGAGGGGCAGAATTGCTGTAGAAACGGGAAATCGTCTGGTGTGACAGGGCTAAAACTGCTGCTGCCTCTTGCAAACGTCTTTTCAGTATCCACACCAGATTACACTCCTCTCTTCACTAAGGCAAGAGAGAATCTGACTGTAAATGGCCTAAGGAAACAGACCCTTTAATTCCAGTTCCTATCATCCTCTCCTAATTCCTTCAAAGGGAACCGATACAACCCACACATGGTGTGGGAAGCCCTGAAGCTGGGCACGTGCCAAGTCAAAGTAGACAGGGCTGGGATCTAAGCTATGAAATGCACCACAGGGAACAACTCAGGATGGACACAGGGCCAGATCATCGTCATCTTTAATCTCTGTGATTCTACATGGGCTAAAAAATCTCACTAGCAAAACTCTATACAGCAACAGATGGGATTCAGTAGCAGGCTGTTTTTTTCAGCAATCACTGATTCAGGCTCTGATCTATGCCGCCGTTTAAATCCAGAGTAACTCCTATGGATTTTCATGAGTACAAAAGAGTTCAGAGCCTGGCCCACTCTAATTACAGAGGAGCAAAGGACTTTGGTCTAGATCCTCTGAAAAGTTTGGACACTTAAACACAGTTCTAGTGGGAATCCGGCACCCCAGTACCTTTGAGAGAAGCTGGCCCCCCCTTATTTTCCCAGGCAAGACTTCTTTCTCCTGTCACTGTAACTCTTTGGGAGCAATGGGGAAAAGCACAGTCAGAGACTACACAAACCAGGAGAAAGATGTTGTATTATTGTAGTGGAAGAGAAAGTCACTCCAGAGCTAAGCCATTCCAGGGGATAATTCATATGAGAAGGTTTGCACACCACTTAATAAGAGCAAGAGAGAAGATATTTATTATACGATGGCGATCAGCTTCTTTTCCCTGCAACAAAGACAAATTTGCCATCATTTCCAAAAGACATCGACGAAAGTCATGTAGTTTCCCAACAATTTTAATTGCCAAACCAAGAAGTTAGGAGCAGCCAACTCCACCGGCACACACTGCTCAGGAGCCACAAAACAGAGGCAGACCTTTCCAAAGCTGAAGTCAAGTGCAACCAAAGCAAACAAGTCTAATCACATAATCAAAGTCATCCGTTAATGAAAACACATCCCACAAATGATTAAGTTGTTAAGTGCTAGTCTATTCCAAACACCTCAGAAGAAAACTCATGCAATCTGTAACACTTACATCAGAGTCCCATAACATTCACATAGAGAAAAGGAAAGAATAAACTGTTAGGGGAAAACATTTGGGTGTAGAGGGGGAAGGAACATTGTTTCAGAGCACAGAAATCTTCATCTTTTCTTTCATAATATCTGTGGTTCAACTGGAGCTTATTAAACAACAATTAATGCTTTAACCTTCTATTAGTAAATGCAATTGTACTTAAAGGACCTACTAATTTTCTATGAAAATTTTTCATTCCCAGAAATAACCAAAATAACTACTAAAGTGATTTAAATACCCACAGAAACTCACAAATTGCCATTCAGAGGTAGTGTTGCAAAGTGATGCAAATCATGCCTGTAAAAATTTGATTCAACATTTAGTAAAAGGAAGTTTTAAGGAACAAAATGCCTAGAGCAATGGAAAGTTGTCATTTGTTCTTTAAGCTCAATGAGAGAAAGGTTAAAAAAAAATATCTGTAAATCCCCAGCACAAGAGCTGGAAGCAAAACTAGCTAAGAACAAAAATGAAACCACCTACACCATTTAATTGAATTAGTTCAGAGATATATGAACAGCCCCCCTTATGCAAAGTCAATTATTTTTTTAAGAGTACTTTCCACTGTAATAATCTCACATTCAATTTGTAGCATGCCACAAAGAAGGGGTTGGATACATCTAATATGCCAATAAGGTGATTTGCTTAAAACACAATTAAGTGTATGTCCCATTAAGGTCCTTGCTGAGCTGTACCACTGATTGTGTGTGACCTGTCACCTTGTCTTTAGGGTGACAATCACATGTAGGAAGAGATCCAACACATTTTATTGGAAAAACTTCAGGGGCTGGCTTTATGCTGCCACCTGACCATGTTGGCTAGGCTGCCCATCAGTCACTGCTGAGCTGTAGTTTTTAAGGCGTACATTACTGTACCAGTCACCGCTATGGCGCACAACCCTGCGGTGCACACTCAAAAACCAGTCCCATTCATCACTTATGTCCTTGCACATTACTTACATTGCCTAAGGCACCTTATTATCCACACCTTTTAGTATTAAATGCCCCCTCAAATACATGCAGCCACAACAGTTCTCCTGATATACAGCTGATTCTTTAATATCTGCTAGATATATTTATTCTCTGCAAGGATTAAAATTGTTCCTCCCTCTCAACCATAACACACGTCTTTGCAACAGCACCTAAGAGACGTTAGTTGAGAGAATACCACCAAACATAGTATTTATTACTTCTTAAATGCCAGTTCCAAGCAAGCTTGTTTAATATTGACCAGTGTTTAAGCATTTACCAGGCATTGCCGAAAGACAAACAGATATCCCTGGAGATTTTCACTCCATCCTTCCTGAAGGGGAAAAAGAACTCTTACGTAATTGTACCATTGTTTTTTAATGCTGCAGCCTGACTTTCCACAGGCTGTGAACATGGAAGCGATAAATCAGAAATTTGTGTAAAGACCTGGAAGCAGTTTTGCCAGCAAAGGCCTGCCACTGGAGAAGCGCAAGAAGAGCTGACACAGAACCTGTCAAGAAGACACGCTGGAGTATATCTAGTGGAACACTGTTGTACTTAGTGAAGCTGCCCAGAGCAAAGGAGGATGAATGTCCTCAATTGTGTCAATGTTTTGTCATGTGCAGAATGCCAGGCTGGCTGGAGTGAGCCAACTGGGCAGTAAAGAGTTCTTTTGTGAAGCAAATAGCTTCAGCGGCAGAGGAGCCCCCCACCACTGACAGTGATGGATCTGCTCCCAGACAGGGTGAGCTCACGCTGCACTCAGCCTGGCCTTCAGCCTCTGCATGAATGCACGTTCCATCGCACCTGCACGCCACATCCTCCTCAAACCTTCTCTCAAGATACCATCTAGGGAGCAGGATGGGCAGACTTCTGCTCCCACCAGCCTGTGCTCTCCCAAGAGCTGTGGGGGTTTGTGTGAGTCAGGCAGTGAGAAAAACAATCGAGTTTCACCTGCCAGAGCATTAAAGCAACTGCTCCTGCCAAGAAGGCTGCATCATGGCTCTACACCAGCCTTTAGTAACTGCTGCTTGAGGTAAGGCTTGACTATCTACCCTTTTAGATTATAAACTCTTCGGAAATGAGCACTGTTACCAATACTGTTACTCTGAGACTGGCTACACAAAAGTTTGCATCAAGGAAAGACAAGTACCAATAGTTTAGGACAACTTAGTCCTAGCTAAACAAACTTCACTTCTTTCTTCCCCTTGCTTTTTTGTGGCACTGAGAAAATGTGTTCACATTACGTAGTCAGCTCTCCAAGCTACCACAGCTGCATTGACAAATGAGCTTTTTAAACGGCAGGGCATTGTCTGAGAGTGCATTAATGCATCTATTGCCTTGGAGACAGAGAAAGGGCAGCCTGTGGAGCCAGAATGAACCCTCTAAGAGATAGACCCTCAGTATATCCCTATTGACATGGTCCAAGGGACTGGATTAAGTCAGGGGAAAAAAATAGTAAGAGAAGCCAATCTGAAAGACAGGGCACACAATTTAAACCAGCTCAACATGACTTTGGGCCCAATTTGTAAACATATTGGACTGATAAGTGCTTTAGCATCATTAAATGACTTTCCTAAGATTAACTCATTACTATTAAGCACTTAAGGATCACTTCAGTGATTCTTTTTATAAATAACACTTTGAAGTCAAATCCACAAAATGAGCTTAGGTTAAAATTAGAAGGGTGGTAATAAATTGCACTGTGAATACAAGTGTTTCGTGATTGCTTAAACAGATACCACCTTACACAGGTGTCATTCTTCTGCACAGTGGCACACTCACCCCAAATGTGCTCGTGGGACAACAGGGAGGGTGACAAACCAAATATAGGGTTGGTTTGCCTCCTGCGCAGAGTGCAAGGAGGCAGCATCAGGCTGGGATCACCAGCCTCCAAGCACCAATGCTGCACAGGGCTGCACAGCACTCTGGAAGTGACACAGCCAGCAGCGATGGCTGCAGCATGGTAGCAGCACTGGGATCCTTCATCCCTCTGCTGCCATCCCCAGGCTGATTACAGTGTGCAAAATAAACAAAAAGCACATGAGATGAGAAGTAAAGGAGTTACAAAGGTCTTTTTCTTCCACCAACATGAGATGCTGCCAATCTGGATTTCTTCTTTCTCCCTAGACAAGCTGCTTCGCAGCCTCATCCTCTGGCATGCCCAAATCAGGGGCCTCCCCCTCCTTTCATCTGCCACTGGGACAAAACGCAGAACTGACACAGCTCAGCTCTTAGCAACCAGGCTAACTGGCACAGCATTGAAAAAAACACTGGCAGCTAAACCATTCACTACACTCCTAAGTTTGTAAGCACAATAAATGCTGGGGACAGAGGGGATGTTTTTCAAAAATGGCTCTAGCACAGACTGAAGCAGGGAGAGTCTGTTCAACCCTATTCTGTTGTAGCAGGTTCTGCTACTGGACTTTGCTATTTACCCTCCTCATCCCAAGCACAAGTGTCCTCTCCACCAACACAGAAACACATGCCAGTCCTTAGGGAACAGAGCAAAACAGGGCCAAGACTGAGGGACATCTGCTCTTGCTGCGTTCCCAGTGGTTTTACACTAGTGTTGCGAGGTATGGGGTTCCACTGGTGCAGCAAGGACAACGGCACATCCTCTAGAACAGAAAGGACTGAGGCTTTTCTCCAGAGAAACACTCCCCAGCCTTGGGTAACACAGGTCAGTAAGGTGAGAAGCACCGCAGTACTTGCCGTCAGCACACGCACAGCTCACAAACTCACTCGCAGCCTGGCATTCCCCTGGTTTGTTCCCCTGGTGTTAGGAAACCCAGTGAGTAAGAGTGGCAAGAGCAAGCCAGGCTGGGGATGGCAGCCATGCCCAAAAGGGATGCGTGGGTATCAGGGCGCAGGAAATCCAGCACTCACCTCTGAGGCGTCGGCATACAGAGCAACACGTGCACACTGAAAGAGGAGCTGAGCATTAGAAACTCATCAGGCTAAGCTACTATCTCTCAGAAAACACTTGGCATCATTTTGAGGTGGACTTCACGGTCCCCATGTCCATAGAGAGACAACCGTCTCTATTCACCAGCACGGAGCACAGACTCGGGAACGTGCCTCACCCCAGGCTGCGTGCCTAATGGGTGTTAAGGCTGGGATTACGTACAGCTCCCTGGCTCTGTTCTCAGATCACTAAACAAAAATAACTTCTGACTAGAGAAGCCTGGGAGCGTGGATAAGCAATGGATAACACAGTGCAAAAGGCTGTATGATAATAAACACAGGGCACAATACTGAGACTCGTATTTTTACATGCCTGGATTTTTTTTTCAGTAGATTTAGACTTTTACAAGCACTGGTGCAGCCATTCACGCAGCTTCTGAAGGAAAACTATCCACAGATCCCTGATCTTACTAAATTAGGAATACGCTGAAGAGTCCTGCAGGAATTATATTTTGGTGGAATTGCTGTAAGAATTGAAAGCAACCGAGTCAATTGCATTGCACCCTTCAGTGCAAATGCAGGTGATTCACAGCTGTTCATAAAAGTGTGACCTTTAGAGCTTCAGCTTGTGTTTCAAGAAACACTTCAGATATAATTTCCAGTTTGAGCCTTCCAATTTAACCCTCACAGTAGCATCAACGACTCCAGATAAAAAAAAGCTTTTGAAGGAAGAAAAGGTTAGAGCTCTGTGTGATTTATTTGGTGAAAGTTATCCAGCTGCAAACACTGAAAGTTCTTCCACAGTTGCACTGTCATTTTAAACCAGCATGAACCAGTGCTGCTGCTCAAAGCAGATGTCCCACTGCCCTTGTTCTGTCCTGCAAAGCCTTCAGCACTTAAGTGCAAAACCAAGAAACAGCCTTGACTCTCTCCTTCACAGAGGAGTAGAGAGTATGAGACAACACACTGCACATTTCTGCTTTGAAATCATTCTGGCTGAGAATGATCTCTGCCTGGGGTAAGCTGAAGCAGAAAGGGCACTTCGTCTGGGCAACACAGATGGTGGCTCTGTAATATGTGATCCTTTGGCCCAGATGGTGTCAGCTCTGGACACTGACCATCCCGTGATGCAACGCAAATCTCCTGCCACTGAGGTATGTCCCACTCACCCAAAAGTGAGGATGGCCTCCAGTGCCCAGCCCACACTGGAGGTTTCCACTGACATCAGCAACTGTGAGGCATGTTTGCATCAGTTACGGAATTGATCTATGTGACACAGTGGCCAATATCTCACCTTTCAAGTCACATCTGTCACTCACCAGCCATCACAAGGGAAAAAGTTTTGTCTGCACTGTCAAGGATGCTTTTAAGGCAATACTGTAAGGTTAAAAAAGTGCAAAAGCCTCTCACTGTTAATAAAGACATGTCTGTATGTGGATTGTTACTGGACTTTTGCCAGAAAAACAGGATTGCCTTGAAAAATATTCGGAAATGTTCTGGAGCATCCAGTTTTCTGTAACGATGGGCAGCCACAAGACATTTATATTTCCCAAAGGGGCAGTTCTGCCTGTGCAAGCAGCACAGGTTGGAACATGCATCGAAGCTAAAATACCACAAGCTACCATCAGGGTGCCAGGACACTAAATTGAGAAACGCTGAACTAAGAGCAAAGCAAAAGATCAGATAAAGAGGACAGGTGGCAGGCCTGCTACGTGGAGGAACGGCAATCATCGTGTTTCCTCAATGTACGTCAAAGGAGTCTGTGCACATGCTTCACAGGAGCAGTGGCGATGCCTCACGTAATGCGCTATGTGCAGGGTCGGCAGCTGTGCATAAATCACAGCAAAAGCAGCCTTTGCCCCCTCATGTTGTTTGTGTGTGGCTTTTGATGTGGTGTGAGGAGGAGGAGAAGAAAGATCTTTCTGTGGGATGGGTGTGAATACACCTGGAGCGCACTACACACTGAACAGTCCCGCACCAGTGGGCAGCTGCCTGCAGGAGTGGGACTGCTCAGCGTATAGCAGGCACCAAAGACAGCAAAAGGTAGAGGAAAAGCAGGGGTGATTTCCCGTGTCTCAAAAGCAGCTTTTGCATATTCTATTTCTTGGCCTCATAAGACACCCTTCAGCAGCCAAAAATAAACTTTTGCTGTGTCTGCATGTGGTTGTTACTAACTAAATGCCAAGCTCTTCACACAGTGCTTTGTGTCAAGAGGGCATTCAGAGAGTCACAAATCCATCTAATCAGCACCAGCCACATCTTAAAAACAACAATGGAAATGAAACAAACTGAGTGGTTATTTAATAGAGCCTGAGCACAGCATTATCCTGCAGCCAGCTTTTGGCCAGAGCCAAAGCCCACTGATGTCAGGAGAGTCTTTCCATGGGTTTCAGTGGGCTTGGAAGCACGCCTGAGAGATGTGAAACCAGAACCTGAACCACTCTTGGTGCTCACAGGGGAAGCAGGGGGTTCATACCAACAGACTTGAGTTTCAACAGTCTCATCTGTACAGGGAAGACAGCAGACCTCTGTCCATCACCCTATCTTTCCAAATCACTTTCTTTCAGATATCGTATCTGCTCTTAAACACAGACACACAACACGATTGGAACAGAGTAACACCAAGTTCCACACCAGATCTGGCTGTGTTTTCACTGCTCAGGGAATGAGACCCATCCAAACTCCTGTAACCTTGGACTAAAGGGCCATCTCTTGTCTTTGCCTCACTGTCGTAAGCAAGAGTGTGCTTCCATGCACCATTTGTTCAGTAGCAAAGCTGGCTTGAGGAGCTTCCAGTTCCTGGCCACTTGATCTCATTAACATACTGCCCTGAAGCTCTCCCAAAACAGTTCTTTTGGAGGTTCCCAGTAAGGCAGATCAACAAATCGGTCTGAGGTGAAAAGAATCCCTCAAAAACTGTAAAAGAAAGTACTTTTAACCTAGGTCCCACAAGTCCTCTTAAGCTGATTTAACCAATAAGAAAAAATATGGGCATGTGAATATAGAAGTGAGCACTCAATAAGTTAAGAACAGCAGTGCCAGCTCAGATGAAAGGTCTGGGCAGCAATAGCTGGCAGCAGCTATGAAGGGCAGTGTATAACAAGAGGGTAAGCAACAGCAGTCATCCCCCAGGACATGCTCCCACTGTTCACTCACTCACAGCTTGGGGACTGCCACAATCTGAGACCAAGAGCAGCAGGGCAGCTCCCCACACGCCAGCAGGTTTTGCTGTGAAAACCTGGCAGCATGACAAAATAAGTCCTGGTTTTTCCTGGCTGGGTTTGCTGCCTTAGGAGGGCAGCTGCACCATTTTCAGGATTGCTTCCTGAGTCCAGGTCTTTATTACTGGCCAGCTTGAGTGACCACAGGCAAACCCCACGTGCAGCACCACTCCTCAACGCATCCAAAGTAACACTTCAGGTTCCTGTTCCTACCACAGTTACTGATCAGCTGCAAATTCAGACAGTGACTTTGAAAGCTGCACTTGCAGAGGACTGTAATAGGTTGGCATAGTGGCAAGATAAAGCACTCTTACTACAAACAGAGAAACCTTCTTGAAAAATTGGGATCAATCCATAGACAGGACTTTTCCACTGATCAGATATTTTACATGTTATAATCACTGAGAATAAGTGTACAAGAAAGCCACATAAGAAATCTTCTAAGATGTTGACCTTAAAATACACAAGCATCTTCTATCATGTACAGCTTTCAGGGCCGGGGCACAGGAAGTACAATTTGTTCTGTTTTGCAGACACACTGAGGAACAAAGGTACGCTCTAGGTCATACCAGTGTTTTGCAATAAAGCAGGGTGTGAATTCACTTGTCCTAACTCACAGTCCTGCCTCCTAACCATCACACTGCTTCTTCTACAGACACAGGACCCATTCCTTCAAGGCTTCCCTAGAAGTCTCCATAAAGCAGGATTTCTACTCTGACCAAGGGTACAATGTGCGCAGCCCCAGACAGGCTCTCTATTAATGTTCTTAAAGTCGTTCCGTGTACCCCAGCTGCTGCCGTCAAGCTTTCTAAAAGCTGTTTAGAAAGACCTTTTACAAGAAAGGTGAGGTCTTCGGCTGAGTCATCCTCATGTCAAACAGACAGTCTGGGGTATTTTTGCCGACTCCCTCTGATGTCAGACTGGCTAAGTCCAATTATGTCTAAAGCAGGAATAAAAAAAGAAGTCTAATGTTTCTGTGAGACAGTGGGGACGGCTGACATGGACGTTTGTGTTATGTGAGGGCTTTGGGACAGGAAAAAGAGCCATGTGTCAGCTCTTCTGTACTGACTGCTCATGAACATACTCATACATATATATTACATGTATATATAGCATACTGATAGGCATCAGAAAATTCTCTCTGCCCCTTGAGTATGTGCAACACTCCAACTAAACAAACATGGAAGGTGGAGCAATGGGACCATGTCTGGGCTTGGTGTGCCTAGAAGAGTGTCGTCTCACCCCGAATATGGCCCTCAAGAATTTGCCCTCAAAATTTCTGCTGTTTTCATCAAAAGAAGAATTAAAAACAAAATCTCAAGTTAGTCAGACCAAAAGTTTATGATAAACACTAGGCTCAGTTTGAAAAATTTATGAACAGTTCATTTTTCTATAGATTCATTTTGAGATAACCTTGCACAGTACTGACATGAAATCAGATCAAAATCGAAATATTGTGTGTGTTAAGGCAAGAGGTTTGTGGCCAGGTGAGCTGAGTTCACTGCCTTAAGAACAAAACTACAAAGGCTGCCCTATGGAACATGGAATTAAATTATGCTTCATGCCATTCGTTATTTTGGTCTAAATGATATGTGAATTTTTTTTTTTTTTGAGTAAGAGTTTTATGTTCTGTGTGGGAACACTTTACTTTCAGATTGATTACTTTGAGTGAAGTATATACAACACATCACATAAACATCAGAACAAAGCCGCTGTGCATTAGCTATTTCAGTTTACCTGTAAAGAGAATTTATTCAACAGATGATATTAAAAAAAATGAACATAGAAGTCTATCAGCTATAATTCTCAGAATTTCTAAAGGGCTTGAATGATACTCTTTAGGAAGGATGAGACATTTCTAATACATTCCAAAACGAAAAGCAAACTAGAAGGGGTAGCAATCTACACAGGCTTGAAACACAGTGAATGTTTGCACAGACCTCAACACACACAAGCTGAAACTGATAAATTTCAAACTTGCCAGCATATGTTTCACAAGCTACCAAGTACAACACGCCTGTAACTTTCTGTGGCTTCTCATCACAGCAGTCAAGTTGCATGATCTGTGGTGGTGCTCAGGAATCCCTGAAATCATCAGGAACCCCCTGCTTGGGATAACCTTCCACGTCTCAATTTTTGAGATCTGATCTGCAAAGTTATCTCCCATTAAATTTTTTGGATCTGAGCTCACAATGATTTCTTTAACCAAGCTTGAAATAAATTTTTTGTAACTAAATCCTCAGGAATGGATCTTCTTCCCACCATAATGTTTTTTCCCTTTGCTCTTTCAGAATTTGAAAAAAAACCACAGCCCTTCAGACAGACTTGTTTTCCATACCAGTGCTTTAAGCAGACATCCTTCATATCACAAACAGCTGTCCGATCTTGGTCTCTGCTTCTAGGGTTGCTTTATATGGGTTTTATTTCTCAATAGGCTTCATCAGTGATGAAGTGCTTGAACTACAACTGTCAAGTGTTGTAACAGCTACTGTGCGGTTTAGAAGCACAAGTGGGCCCAATTCAAACCAGATATCCATTAGAACTTGCATTTATGTTTAGATGACATGAGAGGCTGTATCACCATATGGGGGCATTGACGATAACAATGACCCTTGCCCAGTACTGGGCATTCTTATTCCCTTTTTTTGCATCTCCATTAGGCCCTCTCACTGAAAACCCACAATGGCTTGCAACCCCCAGTCCAGAGCCTAACTTTTCAGCTCGAGTTGCAAGGACTCATGCTTGCTCCCTTGCATGCTCAAGTCCTGTCCTTGGTACCAGCCAGGAATAGTAACCATCAAATGATGATACTGTTTTTTCTCTTAAGTGCCAAGAGACTCAACAGCATGTCTGTGTCCTGTGAATCCTGGTATGTACTGCCTGCAATGCCTGTTTCTATATATTCGTGCCAACTGCATTACTTCATTCAACTGTGTGATATTCCAGACAACACAACACTGAAAATAACACTGGCACTTACCTGAGCTGCCAGTGCCTTCCGATGCACTTCTGGATGTTTTTGGCTGGCTCTGTTTGCTACTTGTTCGTACAGTGACCGAAGGAGGAACAGTGCTGCTGCTGTCTCCACGAATCGTCGAGAGATCCTGCATGCTAAAGCTCCTTAGTCTCTCAGACAGGGCCCCCTGTCCCTAGTTAAACAAGCAAGCAAATAACACACATAAAAGTTAGATTCCACAGCACCTTTTTGAGCCTTTCTCCTCCCTAGCTCATTGAAATCCATCAGGACAACAGGAAGAGAAAAAATTGCATGGTCCAGTAACCTAGAGAGGACAAAAGAGGGTTGTTAAAAGCATCATTTCCCTCCCTTTGCTCTTCCTTTTGGATTGGTTCTATGCACAAAGTCATTCCAACTTTTGATGGTGAGCATCTCTGATTCTTCAATGCAACAATTTGAGATCAGAGCAGCCTTGGCCACATCTGAAGGAACAGGACATTGTTGTATCTTTCTAGTTGGTACTTTTCTTCACTAGGATCTGAGTCAAACAGGTGCTTGGCTTCAGAAACACAATTAAATAGTCTGCATCAAAATAACCCCCTTTTAAAGTTAATAATCTATGATGATATTCACCCAGCTGTTCGCAGAATTTCCAGAGCACAGAAGATTTGAAATTTAAAAGCAATAAAAATTTTTTGTGAAATGCAAAGAAATATTCCAGTGCTTTTTTCATGCAGCTTAAGGAAGAAATAAACTAACACAATATTTTTCTTTCTTTTTAGACTAGCTCAAAATCAGGTAACAAACATATTCCTCAGTGAAAGGAACATAGCTGTTCTTTGTAAAGGATGGGTTGGTCAAAAGACACCTTTCATTAAAACTACATCCCATCAAAATGTTGACTACAAGTATACCTCTTTCTGAATTCTGTAACCCTCATACTACACCACTGTCATAAAGTAAGAATGCCGGAAAATACAATCAATACAGAACCTATCTGTCCTTCTCTGTTGGCTACATTAAGTGACATTCAGAATATAAATAGTGTAACTGATAAAAAGTACATTTGGATTTTAACATTTTGTTGAGGGGGGCAGGGTCTGAAAGATACTTCATACCATACAATCTTGAAAAAAATACCGAAATAAATGCATAGAGCCTGATTCTAAAATTATTTCTGCTACTGTAAATTAGGAAAAAGTCAATGGAAGCTTCGACTGAGGTGAAGGGACTGTAAGCAGACAAGGCATTGTGTGCTTAAAACTACAGTCGCTGTGACAGCCTGCACTTTCTACATTCAAGAAAACTGTTAGATCAGCGACCTCCCAACTTTTCATCCTGCAGCTTTCACAGAAGAAAAATGGGTTCAAACTTCCTTCTTAACTCCGTCACATATCAGTTCGACCACAGGCAGGCTGTACATCCTGACTACAGCATGGTTCTGCACCAACAAGAAACAAACAGCACGTGATGGTAACTTCTTCAGTGCTGTCCCAAAGCATCATCAGCAGAAATATGCATCATCTAAGAAAAATAAAACTGAACCGTCCTTTGTAGGGCAGAGACACTGTGTGGAGCTAGCCAGGAAGCTGCACTGGGATTTTTCTTTTTATTTTACTCAATCTTCGGCTTCTTAAGATGTCTCTATGTATGCTGTGTTTGGCAGCATTTTGCATTTAGCTTGTCTGCAGAGTTACAGAGAACTCTCCACACACCCACCATGTTCTTCCTTACTTTGCTCTTTCTCATTACCCTGTTCTAATTTTTAAAGTATTTTAAATGGATGCAGCTGTTTTGCTTGTATATCAAGGCATTTTATTTTGCTGATTTTATATGCTCGGCAGTGGAGTCCCTAGAGCTGATGTTCTGTTAAAATCTCACCTCTGCCACCTCACTCTCCAACCTGCCACAAGAGTTGATGCCTGAATTTTGGCCACTCCTGTCAGTGACTGAGTGACTCTCGGGACATGTTCTCACTCCAAGAGGCCTCTTTTGTTATTCCTCTGAGGCCAGTCTAAGATACATATACCCTGCGGTCTACAGCTGCAACTGTCACTGGGCTGGATACTGAAATCCCCTTGCATGGCTGGTTAGCTGGGTGGGATCTCAGCTGCGCAGAGCTCAGTGCAGTGCAGCTCTGGATGGGTTTTGCAGCTTGCACTGAAGTCCTGCACAGCCACCCTGTTTTCAGTAACTGGTTTAAAGCTAACACAGGCCACCCTACCCTGCAGCCTGGCTACAACAGACAGATCCCTAGCGAGAGCAAGCTGAGAGCAATCAGACCACTAAATAATATTGTGTTGTTGCAAAATGACTGGACCAGTAAAGCCAGAGGGTTAGCAACTGTGGCGATGCTGTAACCTGAGTGCTGTATTCCTCCCGCACCACCAGCTCAAGTATCAGCAGTGCTTTCAGCCTCCTCCCAGCAGCTCTGCTCAGCCAGCTAACCCAAATACCATTGCACTCCAGCGAGCAGTTTATGTCTGTGGACATGAGTCAGATTAGAGACAAGATTCACGTATCAGACCAGCCTGGCAGGGAAGATGACGCTAACACACCCTTTTGCATTGAAAATGAAGAAGATACGTTAACACTCTTACATTACAACTTGTATATAGCAGCATATAACAACCAAAGGCCCCAGAGATAGGTTCAAAACAAGGGGCTGGTACATGCCTTTCTTCTGTGGGTCTGTTACATTAACATATGATGTACACAACCGCAGCCTTAAACACACAGTCACAGCAGGTGTGCTGAACCACCTTGACTCTATCCAGGAAAAAATTTTAAAAATTGTCTTTTCTTGATCTTTGCTTTAATTTTACCTGAGTTTATAACAGCAAAGATAATAGTTGCTCATCACGCAAATAGTAAAATATTTCTGTTCCTACCCTTCTGGGAAACAGTTTGTCCAAACCTCAGAAATGGCAGGGACAGCAAAGGGGTTCAGGCTGAGTGAGGACACTGAACGCGTGTGAAAGCCTGCCGACTTCCCATTTCTTTTCTTTCAAATTTTTGCACCTTCAGTCCTTGTAGGGATAGACTTGATTTAATTGCTCCTAGGGCACAACATTAACACTCACAATTCTTTCCTAGTTGCCATGTATCTACCTGACCCCAACTAGAAACATGACAGAAATTATGATTACAACAGAATGAAGATGGTTTCAGAGTAAAATGGAAACTGTTGTTACCAACCTTAATATCCCTGTCAGCTGCTCTCTATGAAATCACAAACATGTGAAAAGTCAGCACCGTGAGGGTTTGCACTGGTGTCATTATATGTTAGCAATAAAGGCTTTATCCAGTTGTAACGCTTATTATTCCACAATAAGACTTATCATTTATTAACAAAAGACAAAAACAAGTTAACAACTGTATTTCACAACAGAATAGATTTAGCACAGCACACATCTTGGGCCGTGTTTGGTTAAAACAATCATGTAGAAGATGAAGAGCAGCTGTTTTGGGGATTCTTTTTTACCATCTTGGCCACGATCGTACAGATGCTTTTCCAACTGCTACAAACACAGATGTCCCAGGAATTTCAGCACACCGTGTGTTGACAGAGGGAAGATCCAGGTCCTCCTGAAGCTATGTCTACGCTGCAGGCCAGAGGCATGTTTGCAGCATGCCCACACAAATCTGAATTAGTTTTATCCTACAGAGCACAACAACAGTAATATCATGACAGTAGCTGTGATAACAACATTTCAGCGTGTCAACAGAAAAACAGCATGGTGGTATCATACAACCTTTTGAAAATGTGGACTGGGAGGGCTGTGGGACTATGGATAACACCATCTCTCTCTCTCTCCTCTCACTGAGCACCAACTGCCCTGTCAGAATGATTGTGCTGGCAGTGTGGGACCTGTATTTTGGGGACTTCATCCCCTGGAAGAGGACACAAGCATGAAGTGGTGCTGGAAGACTGAGCCCTACCCTCCTGGGCACAAGACTGCCTGCCTAGGCTCAACTTCTACTTCATCCAGCTCCTTCTAGGACACGCATTGTCCCCATAAACATGACATTTCTGATCCGGCAGACAGTGATTTTGCTAAATGTTGAGGTTTTGGTGGCAAAAAATGGGAATAGGTTTGTCTCTGTTCCCTGCTCACTGTAGTGTACCTGCTCCTGAATTCATCTGATCTTCCTGACTCTCGGAAAGTTCACCCCATAGGTGAAGGTACAGCACAAGCTGAAAGCGGACCTTTTCAGGCCTCCTTCACTTCTTCTGCTCCCAGGACCCTCGCTAGGTCCATCCATAGGACAGTTCTCTCTTCATAGGGGCAGAGAAGGGCCAGGCTGGGGCAGGGCTTGGTGCTACTGAGTGAGACAAAAGACAAATACTGAAAAGGGCACAGTAAGATCACCCCCCCCCCCCATAACTGCTATCACTTGTTATCAACCTTGTTTAGATTCATGACACTACCAACGGTATTAGGGCATCACCCATGGACATTTAAGGCTGTCTGTGATTCTAAGGGAAGTTAAAGCTCCCATCCATGTGGCATAGTAATTAATCTAAAATTAATTTATGTACATCTCCACCCACTTTGGTCAAAATTGCAACTGTAGTATAGACATACCTTACTTCCCCACATCTAGCACATTCTCTCCTTATTTTTGCTTTAAAGAGATATAAAACAGTATCAAAATACTGAGCTTTCAAAGACAGCTAACCTGCATGCTACCTTCCTCTAAATACTGCAGACATCGTCATCTCCAGAAATTAACGTTAACCTCTGTGGGCCCAGAGCACTAACACTGATGCAACCAATATTTGCTTAGAAGAATCAGAAATCTTGTTCCTTTCCAAAATCTGAAGTCATTTTTGTGTCAGGCACTGTAAAAGGCACTCCCATCAGAAATAAGCTGGAATTGTCTTCATTACGTTGCCTCCCTATAATTAACTTCTGCATTCACATTTGAACTAAAACTTTTTAAAGAGAAATGGATTTAGGAGTCTGGAAAAACTGGGTTTACAGCCAATGGAACTATTCATTAAAAATACTCCATTCACAGCATGGTGAAGTGACACAAATCAGGAACCATAAAATTTGAAATAATAAAAAAGAAGCTTTTAATACACTCAGTGTTAATACAGGATGGCACTGTCTGGCCTTTTCCATCTTAGGATCAGCAGTTAATAGTCAGGCAAGGGAACACTAAGTCACGTTCACCACACTTCCA